TTATGCTAATGGCCAAGATGCAGAACAACAGTTTATACAAAACTTAGCTCTCTTTCTCTGCACTTTCCTCAAAGAGAGAGGTTCATTGGTAGAGAGGAGACAACTCAGTGATGCCTTACTCAAGGTTGGTATGGTTTTTATATTTTATGGGAGAAGAGTCAGTTTGGACATGTGCATACTGGTCTCATGAAAAACAATTGAGGGAAGGAATGCTTAGGTGTTTTGTCTTCATACATTTCCAATGTCTCTCCTGGCCTTTAGTGCATTTAGAAGTGAACAACACAAATATGTTTTATAAAATTAAAAGCTACAAACAAAATAAAATATGTTTTTATGTCTTGTATCTCATGTATTTAGACCAAACAGTAAGGCAGGAACAGGAATAATGCATTTGTGAGTTTTGAGGTTTCAGCTGAAACTGTAGTCTTTGTTACCTCGTCGATCTTAATTCATATTCTGTCTTTCCAGGCCCTTCAGTACCTGATCTTGATCTCTGAAGTAGATGATACAGAAATCTTTAAAATTTGTCTAGAGTACTGGAATGCTCTAGCCTCAGACCTGTACCGAGAATCCCCGTTCCTACCTCCCACTGGATCTTCTCCTCTTTATCTACCAAGACCCACCTCTAGACGGCAATTTTATCAACCTATTCTCACTAAGGTATAGTATACTTGTTGGGAACTAAAAGTGTAGATTCAAGTGAAAGAACATATTAAATTTATTCAGTGCTATGCCTACTTATTCCTTTGCATCCTCTTTTGTAATTTTCTCTTTTCTCCTTATAAACTATTGCATTTTACTCTATAGGTGAGAGCTCTGATGATCAGCCGAATGGCCAAGCCTGAAGAGGTGTTGGTGGTGGAAAATGAGCAGGGTGAAGTTGTGAGAGAGTTCATGCGTGATACTGACTCCATCAACATGTACAAGAACATGCGTGAAACACTAGTTTATCTCACACATTTGGATTATGCGGATACTGAACGTATTATGACAGAAAAGCTAGGCAACCAGGTAAGGATAATTCCTTTGCTTTATTACATGTTTTATGTCTAGTGTATTCATAGTGAAACCAGTAATTGTCACCAGCAATTTATGGTTTGAAGTAGATTGCAGATATCAAGCAGACAGCATGGCAAATACTACTAACCATTCCATTGCTGCTTCACATAATTTCCAGATTGTTATTAAATGACAGTCCCCGATTTTTCAAAGATTGCCGTTTTTGTTGAATATTGTGTGAATTAGTTAATCTGAATGACTGCAGAATATTCACAAAGAATTAAATGTTTACCATCTTGACAGTAAAATGGTGAAGCTGCCAGAGTGAAGAGGTGGTGCTAGCTTGCCTGGATGCATACTTAAGACTACACTGCTTCAGCGTTATGTAAAGGGATATTCCTACTGACGCACATGCAGTTACATTTATTTATTCACTTCACAGCCATACCGTAGTCACCATGGCCTGATTATGGATGAAAATATTATCAACAAAAGTTCTTATATATCATATGTGATGATATGTGGTATATCAGCTTTTGCTTTTACAGATAGCTTGGAAGATCTCAGATTGTTATGTGACAAGGAAATCCCGTTGTGGGTTGCTGACTTTCTTAAAAACCTCCATTTACTCTTGTTTCAGGTGAATGGCAGCGAGTGGTCGTGGCGCAACCTGAACACACTCTGCTGGGCGGTGGGCTCTATCAGTGGTGCTATGCCAGAAGAAGATGAAAAGCGATTCTTGGTTATTGTTATCAAAGATCTCTTGGGTCTCTGTGAGCAAAAGAGAGGCAAAGATAACAAAGCCATCATTGCTTCAAATATCATGTACATTGTGGGACAGTACCCAAGATTCCTTCGCATACATTGGCGCTTCCTCAAGACTGTCATCAACAAACTTTTTGAGTTCATGCATGGTGAGTATCTTGTGAGCTGTGTAGTTTTTATTGTTTTGCTCTCTCTACCAAGGGACTGAAAGAAGGTGTATTGAATTTACCAGATAGATATGCCTCTGGAATGGCTAAAATGCTGAAAGACCTAAACTCTGGTATGCACAGAAATGTCATAACTGGCTGGAGGGGTTTTGCGTGCCATATGTACACATGTTGTGGCTTTGGTGCCGAGGACTTAGCAAAACTTTATGGCCAGAATTCCAGCTAAATCATCTGGCCACCATAGTGAAAGGCCTTAATGATTGGCCTCAAGTATCAGTGGCATGTACATGTTCCCGGTCAGATGGCCATTCTTGGCATTGTATAATGAACATGTCAGCCAGAGGCAATGAGTATATGATAACAGTGATTGTCATTGGTGTTATATAATTTTATTAGAAATAATTATTTGATTTAGTTATTCTTGAGTTTCACAAAATTTCCAAAGACACATTAATGTCATTCATTTTGAATGTTAGGTCTTAAAGGGGAAAGATTTAGTACTTTTCTTCTTCATTATTTCTTTAATTTAAAAATATTATAAAGACTGCAATTTACCTTTTAGATTTCTGTGAGAACTTGTGATCAAGGAGAACCAAAACAATATTCATGTTGCTCTTTTCTTTTAAACAGAAACTCATGATGGTGTTCAAGACATGGCTTGTGATACCTTTATCAAGATTGCACAAAAATGCAGGCGTCAGTTTGTGCAAATGCAAGTTGGGGAAGCTATGCCATTCATTGAGGAAATCTTATCTTCCATTAATTCTATTATCTGTGACCTACAGCCTCAGCAGGTTAGTTGTGTTGAAATTTTAAATCAAATGTTGTTGCATTTTTAGCTTTTGATAGTATTATGCCAATGGCTGCAGAAGGTGTGAATAAAGCTATGGCCTTTGTAAGTTTAGTTTACTAATTTTGTTAACATAGCTGGCTCATCATGGCAATTACATGCTGAGAGTACTGGCATTGGGTTACTTAAGTGGCCGATCTGCCAGTTGTGCGGCATGTAGGCCGGGCATGCACAAACTATTCGTGTGTGGTGACAAAACTCAGTGCCTGCGCTTTGCAGTTAATTTTTATAAACGTTTTTACCTTTTTTGCCATTTTCCAATGTCCATATTTGGGTTTTTATGGTATGGTAATACACTGTTTTCCTTGCTGAGTCCATATCATATCTCTATGTAGTAACTCGGTGCAATGAAAAAAAATATATAACATTTTGTATTTGTTATATATTATATATATATATATATATATATATATATATATATATATATATATATATATATATATATATATACATATATATATATATATATATATATATATACATATATATATATACATATATATATATACATATATATATATATATATATATATATATATATATATATATATATATATATATATATATATATATATATATATATATATATATATATTATATATTATTATTATATATTTATTTATTTTTTTTTTTTTGATATTCAATTTTCTGTAATACAACCTGTGCTACTGTTCATGGTGGCCAGGAATATGATACTGAGCATAGAATTGGTGTCCTTCCTGGAGCCAAGGCTTTGACTCCTGGCTTACAGACATTACATTCCACACTCATTTATCAGTAGGAATAATGCAAAAGCCACTTTCTAAACACTAAATTAGTCCAGTCACGCTCCAAATGGTTTGTGCACTCATGAGCCTTTTCCGTCACCTTGGTCACATGATGGTCACATCACTCAGATTGAAGTGGCCAGTGAAATGATTTTAGTTTTACTTTTAAAGTTTGCATTGAATATTTCTTCAAGACCTCAATGGTCAGTGTTGCCAAACATTCTAAACATGGATAATTACACTGCTTCTCATCTTTTATCTTACTTTTGCTTAGTGTAATTAGTATTTCTTCTTAACTAAATGTCATGAAATGAAAAGAAACATAAGCGTGGATGTTTTATTCCTCCCTCTTTCTTTTGCACAGGTGCACACATTCTATGAAGCGGTGGGTTACATGATAAGTGCCCAAACTGACCAGGTTGTTCAAGAACACCTAATTGAGAAATATATGATGCTACCAAACCAAGTCTGGGATGAAATCATAAATCAGGCATCTAGGGTAAGTGATAAGCTATGGTTTGACTCTAATCTGAAGAGTTACTATGTAGATCACATCTTGGAGTATTGTTTGCTTTTTGGTATAATTTTGTATTTCTTGGTTTTTATGGAGGTAATGAAGGACATTTTTATTCTATTTCCCAGAATGTGGACATCTTGAAGGATTCAGATGTTGTTAAACAGTTGGCAAACATTTTGAAGACCAATGTCAGAGCATGCAAAGCTCTGGGACATCCATTTGTGACACAGGTAAGGAATGCAGAATGAATTAGGCATTTAAGGCAGTTTCTTTCTTTTTATGAAATTTGTTAAATATGGTTCTTCTTTAGCTGTCTTGTAACAGATAAAATAACAGTTTTCTGATGCTTTTGTTCCAGCTTGGGAGAATCTATTTGGATATGCTGAATGTGTACAAGGTCATGAGTGAAAACATTAGTGCAGCTATTGCCCTCAATGGGGAAGGGGTCACTAAACAGCCCCTCATCAAATCCATGCGGGTTGTGAAGAAGGAGACCTTAAAGCTTATATCTGGCTGGGTGTCCCGGTCAGAGGATCACACACTGGTGTTGGATAACTTCATTCCCCCTCTGCTGGAAGCTGTTCTTCTCGATTACCAGGTTTGTATTGGTGGCAAGTAGATCTTGTAGGGAGGATGTTTGAGATTTGGCAGTTGTCCATAAGCATTCTTGCATTTAAGTACAACTAGTTTGCTGTTTGTCAAAACTATATATATGTATTTGGTGATTGTTAATGAATATGTAAGATTTGCATCATTCTGATTGATTGATGATTTTCCTCAATTTGATAAGCATATGTAGGCTTACATTTATCATTTTTATGGTATTTTGGAAACATAGCATGTGCTGTGTTGGGCAGTTATTATGATGTACATACTATATCTTTCTTACATCTTTACAGCGAACGGGAGTGCCATCTGCTCGAGAACCTGAAGTTTTGTCAACTATGGCTACAATTGTCAATAAATTAGAGTCACACATCACTCTCCAAGTTCCTCAGATCTTTGATGCCGTCTTCGAGTGTACATTATCAATGATCAACAAAGATTTTGAGGAATTCCCTGAGCACAGAACAAACTTCTTCCTTCTCTTACAGGTAAGTTATTTTCTTGTTTGATTAAGAATCAGTATTATTTTGATTTACTTTTTTATCTTATCATTTTTTATTTTTTTTTTTTTTTTTTTTTGAGACAGTGGTAGAATAGTGTACACTTGCTACTAAGAATAAAGGTACTATTAAATCTTTTTCATATTTTCAGGCGGTGAATACACATTGCTTCACTGCACTCCTCAATATCCCCCCAGCACAGTTCAAACTAGTATTGGACTCCATAATATGGGCATTCAAACACACAATGAGAAATGTTGCCGACACAGGCTTACAAATTCTTTACCAGCTGCTGCAGAACATTTCAACTCACGAACGGGCAGCAAGCAGTTTCTACCAGACTTACTATACAGATATTTTGCAGCATATTTTCTCAGTTGTCACAGATTCTTCTCACACAGCTGGTAAGTTGGTAAAAATATATGGTATTAGTGATANTCCATCCCCCTCCATCCTTCCCTCACCCCTCCATCCCCCCCCTTCCCCCTCATCCCCTCATCCTTCCCCTCATCCCTCCATCTTCCTTCACCCCCATTCCTTCCCCCCCCCCCCCCCCAAGAGTACCACACCTGGTTGACAACAAAACAAAGAGAAGTTATCCCGTTCAAAGAGAGGAGAGGGAGGGAGGAGAGAGAGGGAGAGAGGAGAGGGAGGGAGAGAGGGGAGAGGACACAAGGGTGACATTTTGAGTCTCTGTCTCTCCTCCTCTCCTTCCCTCCTCCCCCTCCTCCTCCCTCCCTCCCTCCCTCCTCCCTCCTTCCCTTCCTCCCTCCCTCCCTCTCCCTCCTCTTTTTACCTCATTTTCCTTTTTTCCCCTCCCATCCGTCGGAATTTTTTTTGGCGATAAAAAACGTCAATTTTTTATTTATTGAGCTCATTAGCATAGGCCACAGCCATGCGGATGTGACTAAAGGGGAGAAGAGAGAGACGAGAAGAGAGAGAGAGAGAGAGAGAGAGAGAGAGAGAGAGAGAGAGAGAGAGAGAGAGAGAGAGAGAGAGAGAAGAGAGGGAGGAGAGTGGAAGAGAGAGAGAGAGAGAAAGAAAGGAAGGAGAAAGAGAGAAGAAAGAAAGAAACAGAGAGAGAGAAAAAAAGAGAAAGAGAAAAAATAGTGAGAAGAGAGGAAGAGAAAGAGAGAGAAACAGAGGAAAGAAATAAACAAAAAATCAACCACAAGAAATCAAATGACTAAATCCAAAAAAAAGAGAAGAGAGAGATGGGAAAAAAAAAACGATAAAAAGCGATAAACAGACAAACAATGGGACAGAAGATTCGTTTTGAGATAGAACCGGGTTGCAATACGGTTTTTGGACGATACGGAATGCACAGCTTGCAATTAACAGTTTTTTTTTCTTTCTTTTTTTTCTTTCTTCTTCTTCTTTTTTCTTCTTCTTCTTCTTTTCCTTCCTTCTTTTTCTCCTCTCTCCTTCTTCCTCTTCTCCTTCTTCTCCTTCTCCTCCTCCTCCTCCTCTTCTTCTTCTTCTTCTTCTTCTTCTTCTTCTCTTCTTCTTCTTCTTCCTTCTCCTTCTTGCCTTCTTCTTCTCCTTCTCTCTTCTTCTCCTCTTCTCCTTCTTCCTCCTTCTCCTCCTCCTCCCCCCTCTCTTCTCCTTCTTCTTTCCCTCTTCTTCTTCCTCTTCTCCCTTCTTCCTTCTTCTCCTCCTCCTCCTTCTCCTTCTTCTTCTTCTCCTTCTCCTTCTTTGCAACAGGTGAACTTGCCTTCGTCGGGCACTTAAAAACAGAATAGGTAAATAGGTAAATTATATTACTCGTTAGATGACGAAACACGATAACAAGAGAGGAGATAATGGCAGTGAACATTGTTAGGCGTCAATAATGATGATAACGGCGGGGATTCGCGTGTGTGTTGTTTTGTTTGTTTGTGTTGTATTGTTAGTGTTTGGGTGTGTGTTTGTGTGTGTATGTGTTGTGTGTGTGTTTGTGTGTTTTGTGTGTGTGTGTGTGTGTGTGCGTGTGTGTGTGTGTTGTGTGTGTGTGTGTGTGTGTTGTGTGTGTGTGTGTGTGTGTGAGCTTGTTTGTGCGTGTGTGTGTGTGTGTGTGTGTGTGTGTGTGTGTGTGTGTGTGTGTGTGGTGTGTGTGTGTGTGTGTGTGTGTGTGTGTGTGTGTGTGCGTCCGTGTGTCCGTATCCGTCCGTCCCTTTGAAGCACGTGAAAGTGTTCAGACACACTCCCGTGGCTAGGAAATCAATAAATATATATTTATTTACCCATCATTCGTCACGTGAGCAAGATGGGTAAAGATAGGGAAGAGGAGGGGGGAGTGGGGAGGGAGGGGGGAAAGGAGTGATTGAGTGACAGGCAAGAGATAGTAATCGCACTTGCCAGTTATCGAGATTCATGGCAACGAAGCCGTCCGGCCAGCGATCCGAACACGATCGGCGCGAATCGACAAATTGACGAAATTGAATAGCCCGCCATTTTTTTTTTTTTTTTCGTTTTTGCGTTTTTTTATTCTTCTTATTTTTACTCTCTTATTTTATTCTTTGTTTTTTTTCTCTCTCTCTCTCTCTTTCTCTGCTTCGTTTCCCGGATGTTCCAGTTTGCTTATCTCTTTATTACGAAGTTAATTGTTCGTTCGCCTTGTCTCTTTACTTTTATTTACTTTTTTGCTTTCGTCGTTTTATTGCCCTATTTGTAAGGCTGATTTATAACTTATACTTAAGTGATATCGGAGGAAGTAGAGAGGGTGATAAAGAGGGAAGGATTGACATGGAGAAGGAAAGAAAGAGGAGAGAAGAGAAAGGAGAGAATAAGAACAAGAGGAAGAAAAATAAGGAATTAAGAAAAGGAGAGAGAAAAAGTTTAATTTTTCTTCCTTGTTATCTCTTCGTTATCCCCCCCCCCCTCATTACCCCTTCACCTTCTATCACCTTCTTCACCTTCTATCACCTTCTTCCCTTCCCTTCCCCTTCTCCCTCTCTCCCTCTGCCTCCCTCCTCCCCCTCCCTCCCCCTTCTCCCTCCCTTCTCCACCCCTCCTACCCTCCCTCCCCCCTCCTTCCTTCCCTTCCCCCCTTCCCCCTTTACCCCTCCCCCCTACCCCCTCCCCTCACCCCCTCCCACCCCCCAAACTCACACCCTTTTACGCGGCGTCAATCAAGGAGGGCGGGGGCGGTGGTTTTTTTAACGAAGGGGAAAATGCGCTAATCCCAAAAGGGTAAATAAACACCGCTAATTTCGGCGCCGAAACGATCGTAATTGTTCGACATTTTCGACGCGGGTTTTACGACTGTCGCTCCGGTGGCGGGATCTGAATAATGGGGTGGTAGGGGTGGGAGAGGGGGAAGGAGGGAGGGAGGGGGGGAGGGGGCTGGGAGAGGGGGGGGGGGGAGGGGAGGAGGGGGGGTGGGGGGAGAGGGAGGGAAGGAGGGAAGGGGAAGGGGAGGGGGAGGAAGGGTGGCTGGGAGAAGGGGAGAGAAGGGTGGGAGGGTGGCTGGCGAGAGGGAGGGCCGGGAGAGGGAGGGAGGAGGAGGGGGGAGAGGGAGTAAAAGATTGGAGGAGAAGAGAGGGGGAATGTAAAAGGGAAATGGGGAGTGTGGGGAGGGAAGAAGAAGGGTGGTAGGGGGCATGAGGGAGGGTCAGAGGGAGGGAGACGTAGTAGGCGAGGGGTGTCAGAGAAAGGGAGATAGATGAAGGAGAAGATAGAAAAAAAAATGTACATAAGAACGTAGTAAAAAAAAAAAAATACGTAATAACCAGACAGACCAAAACCAAAACCAAAACAAAGAAAAAACAATTACAAGCGAAGCGAAGAACAAAAACAACAACAACAAAATAATAATATTTTGGAGAGAACTGAACACGAAGAACAGATGTCGACCATCGGTGAACAATGTACAAACTCACTGTACAAATGCACTTGATGAACAATGTACAAACTCTGCACTTTACGTTACCAAGTGGCGCCGGATAAGTGGTTATGTGAAGATATGCTTACAAATTGAATCAATTGTTTAGGGGTCGCTTGTGGTGGGGTGGTGGGGGTGGGTGCGGGGGGGGGGGGGTGGATGTGGGTAGGGGAAGGGTGAGAGGAAGGTCAGAGAAGAAGGAGGGAGGAGGGAAAGGGAAGAAGTGGGAGAGGGAAGAGGAGAGGAGGGAAGGGAAGAAGAAGAGGGAGGGAGGAGGAGAGAGGAGGAAGGAGAGAGGGAGAGAGAGAGAGAGAAAAAGGATGAGAGAGAGAGAGAGAGAGGGGAAAGAGAGAGAGAGAGAGAGAGAGAGCGAGAGAGAGAAGAGAGAGAGAGAGAGAGAGAGAGAGAGAGAGAGAGAGAGAGAGAGAGATAAACAACAAAGCGATAAAGAATGGAAATGAGAAGAGGATATGCAACGTATGTAGGAAGGGGTGAGAGGGGGGTAAGGGCTATGCAACAACACCTGGCTGGATCCTCCTTCCTATCTCCTTTTTACTTTCTTTCTCTCTTCTCTCTCTCTTCTCTCTCTCTTCTCTCTCTTCTCTCTCTCTTTCTCTCTCTCTCTCTCTCTCTCTCTCTCTCTCTCTCTCTCCTCTCTCTCTCTCTCTCTCTCTTCTCTCTCTCTCTCTCTCTCTCTCTCTCTCTTTGAACTCCTCCTCCCTTCCCCCCATCCCCCCCCCCCCTCTTGTGTCCACCACGTGTTGTTTTCTGCAGGTGAAGACACCCCCTATCTCCCCACCCCCCACCCTCGGCCTTCCTACCGCTGCCTCCCCTTCTCTCTCTCTTTCTCTCCCTTCTCTTACTTACTCTTCCTATCTCTTTCCTTTTTCTTATTCTCTCTCGATCTCTCCTTTTCTCACAGCCTCCCTCTCATCTTCCCTCCCCCCTCCTTCCTCTCTCCCTCCCTCCTCCCTCCCATCCTTCCTCCTCCCCTCCTCCTTCCCTCCTTCTCCCTCCCTCCTTTCCCTCCCTCTCCTCTCCTTCCGTTCCCTCCCCTTCCCCTCCCTCCCTCCCCTCCCTCCCTCCCTCCCCTTCCCTCCTTCTCCCTCCCTCTCCCTTCCCTTCCCTCCCCACCTTCCCTCCCTCTCCCTTCCCTTCCCTCCCATCCCTTCCCTCCTCCCTTCCCTCCCATCCCTCCCATCCCTTCCCTTCCCTCCCTTCCCCTCCCTTCCCCTCCCTTCCCCTCCTATCGCTGGCCAGTGTTAATGCAGCGATAAGCAAATGCCTGAATGTCTGCGTGCGAGGTTGACAGCACTTGAATTTATGTATAAGTTTTTTGGGGGCAATTTTTGTAATGGCGCCTCGAGCTTCGGACGCCGAAAATTCTGCTCCGGGTGGTCGGATGGGTGGTGGGTGATTGGGTGATTGGGTGGGGCGGGTGGTGATTGGTGATTGGGCGGGAGGGGTGGGCGATGGGTGAGCGAGTGGTGGGTGATTGGGCGGGTAGGTGATTGGGTGGGCGGGAGGGGTGGGCGATGTGGG